TGTAGAGACACAGAGAGGCATCTCTTACTCTCTGTGTGTGTGTAGAGACACAGAGAGGCATATCTTACTCTCTGTGTGTGTAGAGACACAGAGAGGCGTCTCTTAGTCTCTGTGTGTGTAGAGACACAGAGAGACATCTCTTACTCTGTGTGTGTGTGTAGAGACACAGAGAGGCATCTCTTACTCTCTGTGTGTGTGTGTAGAGACACAGAGAGGCATCTCTTACTCTCTGTGTGTGTGTAGAGACACAGAGAGTGGCATCTCTTACACTCTGTGCGTGTGTAGAGACACAGAGAGGCATCTCTTACTCTCTGTGCGTGTGTAGAGACACAGAGAGGCATCTCTTACTCTCTGTGTGTGTAGAGACACAGAGAGGCATCTCTTACTCTCTGTGTGTGTGTAGAGACACAGAGAGGCATCTCTTACTCTCTGTGCATGTGTAGAGACACAGAGAGACATCTCTTACTCTCTGTGTGTGTGTAGAGACACAGAGAGACATCTCTTACTCTCTCTGTGTGTGTAGAGACACAGAGAGGCATCTCTTACTCTCTCTGTGTGTGTAGAGACACAGAGAGGCATCTCTTACTCTGTGTGTGTGTAGAGACACAGAGAGGCATCTCTTACACACTCTGTGTGTGTGTAGAGACACAGAGAGGCATCTCTTACACACTGTGTGTGTAGAGACACAGAGAGACATCTCTTACACACTGTGTGTGTAGAGACACAGAGAGGCATCTCTTACACACTGTGTGTGTAGAGACACAGAGAGACATCTCTTACTTTGTGTGTGTGTAGAGACAGAGAGGCATCTCTTACACTGTGTGTGTGTAGAGACACAGAGAGGCATCTCTTACTCTCTGTGTGTATAGAGACACAGAGAGAGACATCTCTTACACTGTGTGTGTGTGTAGAGACAGAGAGAGGCATCTCTTACTCTGTGTGTGTGTAGAGACACAGAGAGGCATCTCTTACACACGCTGTGTGTGTGTAGAGACACAGAGAGGCATCTCTTACACACTGTGTGTGTAGAGACACAGAGAGACATCTCTTACTTTGTGTGTGTGTAGAGACAGAGAGGCATCTCTTACACTGTGTGTGTGTAGAGACACAGAGAGGCATCTCTTACTCTGTGTGTGTGTAGAGACACAGAGAGAGACATCTCTTACACTGTGTGTGTGTGTAGAGACATAGAGAGACATCTCTTACACTGTGTGTGTATATAGAGACACAGAGAGAGACATCTCTTACTCTCTGTGTATAGAGACACAGAGAGACATATCTTACACACTGTGTGTGTGTAGAGACACAGAGAGAGCGCAACGTTGAGCCAGGTGCTTCACAATGAAAATTGTCTAAATGGCAGTGGCATGCAAAGGCGATAAGGAACGGGTAGTCACGGTATAGGGGAATTAGTAGGGTATAGGGAAGGGGGTCGGGGGGGTGGTCACGGTATAGGGGAATTAGTAGGAGATAGGGGAGGGGGTCGGGGGGGTGGTCACGGTATAGGGGAATTAGTAGGAGATAGAGGAGGGGGTAGGGAAGGTGGTCACGGTATAGGGGGGTTAGTAGGGTATAGGGGAGGGGGTAGGGGGGGTGGTCACGGTATAGGGGGGTTAGTAGGGTATAGGGGAGGGGGTAGGGGAGGTGGTCACGGTATAGGGGAATTAGTAGGGGATAGGGGAGGGGGTAGGGGGGGTGGTCACGGTATAGGGGGGTTAGTAGGGTATAGGGGAGGGGGTAGGGGGGGTGGTCACGGTATAGGGGAATTAGTAGGGGATAGGGGAGGGGGTAGGGGAGGTGGTCACGGTATAGGGGGGTTAGTAGGGGATAGGGGAGGGGGTAGGGGAGGGGGTCACGGTATAGGGGGGTTAGTAGGGGATAGGGGAGAGGGGGTACGGGGGGTGGTCACGGTATAGGGGAATTAGTAGGGGATAGGGGAGGGGGTAGGGGAAGTGGTCACGGTACAGGGGTTAGTAGGGGATAGGGGAGAGGGGGTAGGGGAGGTGGTCACGGTATAGGGGAATTAGTAGGGGATATGGGAGGGGGTAGGGGAAGTGGTCACGGTACAGGGGTTAGTAGGGGATAGGGGAGAGGGGGTAGGGGAGGTGGTCACGGTATAGGAGAATTAGTAGGAGATAGGGTAGGGGGTATGGGGAAGTGGTCACGGTATAGGGGGGTTAGTAGGGTATAGGGGAGGGGGTAAGGGGGGGTACGGGAGGAGGGAAAATGAATGGGCGACGGAGACTCAAACTGGAGTTGCGATCTCGGGCACAGGCAGCAGGTCGCCAGGGGGCTGGGCACGCGCGCGATCTCCGGGTGCGGCAGTCTAAACCAAGTGGCGCAACGTTTTGTTTTCTCTCTTCACACCTGCCACTCCCTCGCCCCTCATCGTCCAAGTTGCGTCCACCCACAATGGACTGCGTGGAGAGGGAGGGGGGGGGGTGACTCCCGGCACTAATTCTAGATTTGAAGCTTTCGTGACTGCAAGGAGTTATATTCTTAGGTTTTTTTCGGTAAAGTCACGTAGGTAAAAACATTAAAATTAATAAAAGTAAAATAAAATAAAAATCACGACGTTTCGGAGGCAACACAAGCTTCCGTCTTCAGGTGGAACCGTCACAGCCACGACAGCTGTATCATTTACTTGATCATTTACTTGATACAGCTGTCGTGGCTGTGACGATTCCACCTGAAGACGGAAGCTTGTGTTGCCTCCGAAACGTCGTGATTTTTTTTTTATTTTACTTTTATTAATTTTAATGTTTTACCTACGTGACTTTACCGAACAAAACCTAAGAATATGACTCCCGGCACTTTGAAGAAGTATCGCCAGCGTGGAAGAGTAGGCCAAAAGCACGAGAGAGAGAGAGAGGGGATGGGGTTTGGGGAGGGGTGGTGGGAGCTGTCGAGGGCTTCCTATAGCTCAGACGACTTTCTCCCAGCAGTGCCGTACGAAGGCCGTTGCAGTGCTGCGCCTTCACCATACTGGAACCGGATCAGTCCCGCCGAGTTCATTAGCGCCGAGTTCAGAGGCAGAATGTTTATGATGTAGACTGCAGGAAGGAATCCGATGAGCTATGAAGCGCTTTTGTCACAGCTGCTCAGTCGGGGGCACGGGGTAAGAACGTTGCAACAACAAACGATAACACAAACACGATGTGTAGTGCCAAGTACAAGAACAGTAAACAAATCGTCCAACACCAAAAATACAAATACAACTTATTTTTGGTTCTTTCGGTAAAGTCACGTAGAAGGGAAACAATAAAAAAATAAAAATATAAAACAATAAAATTATCACGACGTTTCGACACAAGCAATCATCATCAGCTGTGAAATCCACAGCAAGAAAATTGTATTGTTTTATATTTAATATTTGTTTATTATTTAATTGCTTCCCTTCTACGTGACTTTACCGAAAGAACCAAGAATATGAATCCCTGCAGTCACGAAAGCTTTAAATCAAAACAAATACAACACAAAACCACCCCATCCTACCAAGCCAAAGGCCACCTAGGTATTCACTTATTTTTGGCAGAAGCGACCCGGCCACAAATGATCGCTCAAAGAAATGAACCCGTAACAAGTAAACCCGTAAAAACAAAGTTTTTCACTCTAAATCCTTTATATGCGTGGCGGCTAGAGTTCACTCGTCCTCTGGCTTGAGATGGCTGCCACCTATGGGCCAGATGATTGTCTGCCACCATTAGGCAATTGGTAATTAAATATTTAATTTGTTTTCCCTAAACAGTGTAAAATTTTGGAACAAAAAATTTCACGAACATTAATTGTCTCGCACAACTAGACTGTGTGAAAAATGTCAACTCGATTGGATCACGGGAAGTGGGCTAAAAAACGACCGAAAGATTTGCACGGTCGTAAGCAAGCAAGCACGCAAGCAAGCAAGCGAACTTAATATAAAGGATTTAAAAAGCCACCCCATCGTTTGGACATTTATAGCATCACAAAATAATCTGGGTCATCTCAATGCGCGTGTCTCAATGTGGAGGTGAGAAAACCGGAGTTCGATATCTGGCCACGGCTTAACATGCGTGCAACAAGTGATTACGTAACCCGCTCGGCTCTCCCTCTCGAACAATCTGCGGTGACCAGCGTGGTGAAGTATGGTTAAAACAAGTTCCCTAACGTGAGTACAGCACTGCACTACTTTGTGGGGAAGTCAAAAGAGTGGTTATCCTGTGGATAGCCTCGCCCCGCCATAGGAATGTGGAATTCCCACCACTGGTTGAGGGCTGTGAACAGGAGATGAGCTCCCGCTTCCATGTGAATCATTTGACCAAAAAAAAAATGCAGTTTTCATTAACAAAGACAAAGAGTCCCCGTGTAGCCTTGACAAACTGTTGGGGCAAGTGCTGCTAAGCGAGTAGCACTTACGAAGGCCGGCACGGCACGCGAGGCGGTGGGTGGCCAGCACCACACCCGGCCGCCTTTGTCTCCCAAGTGGCGATGTTTACTATACACAACCGCACCAGGTTACTCATTTGAGGCTGAGTCGACCTAGGGGAGGCCCAGGGCCGGGTATCGTTCAACGACTATCAAGAATTTTCGATTTAAAGCTTTCGTGACTGCAGGGATTCGTCTTCTTGGTTCTTTCGGTAAAGTCACGTAGAATGGAAATAATAAAATAATAAAAATTAAACATAATAACGTCGTGAGAATTATTTTATTGTGTTTTATTTTTATTATTTTATTATTTCCATTCTACGTGACTTCACCGAAAGAACCAAGAAGAAGACTATCAAGAACAAGAACAATAACAACTCACACACAACACACATTTCGCCTCCGATTAACACGGTTGGCCTAAGTTACGGTGCGAAAGAGTCGTGCGCGACGCCCGGTTAAAGACGGACGCGCTCCGTGGAATCACGACGCGAGCCGAGTCGATGCGAGGAGTTCGTTACCCGCGGGATGTCCGATCGCCCAGATCATCATCATCAGCAACAGAGGCTCCATTTCCTGTGTCTTCACGACCGCGAGAGGCGAGGGCCTTCTCTGTCTCTCTGTCTCTCTGCGTGTGTCGCCCGGGGTATATTTAGAACTGACAGACACCGTCACCCGAACGCAGCAGGGGTGACGTGTGATCTACCAACCACCACCCAGCCATCTCCCCCCACCACCACATAGCTCTCCCTCCCCTCCCTCCACCACCATCACCACCACTACCCAGTCATCTCCCCACCACTACATAGCTCTCCCTCCCCTCCCTCCACCACCACCACCACTACCCAGCCATCTCCCCCACCACCACACAGCCCCCCTCCCCTCCCTCCACCACCATCACCTAGCCATCTCCCCCACCACCACACAGCCCCCCCCCCCCTCCACCACCACTCCAGCCCCAAACACTTTTAGTTGGCAGCCGCAGCTGTTCCTGTGATAACGGACACGCGGCCTGTGCGTGAATGGGGTTTACATCAGTCGGCTGTTGCCATAACCCAGACGGACGTCTTGGAGTTTGCTTCATCGATGGCCGGGCAAGCCGGTTGCCGATGAGACGCCGCAATGTCGCAAACCGGTTCAGTATACGTGTGTTGAGCCGATGGTCCAAGCAATTCTTGATACTGCTGATGAGTCACTGACTGTCAAACCCGGTTCAGTTTACGTGTGTTGAGCCGATGGTCCAAGCAATTATTGACACTGCTGAGACACTGAATTTCAAAACCGGTTCAGTTTACGTGTGTTGAGCCGATGGTCCAAGCAATTCTTGATACTGCTGATGAGTCACTGACTGTCAAAACCGGTTCAGTTTACGTGTGTTGAGCCGATGGTCCAAGCAATTATTGACACTGCTGATGAGACACTGAATGTCAAAACCGATCCAGAGCTTTTCTCGTATTGAACCAACGCTGCTGAAATGACGCAATAACGCTCTATGAGATCTTTATAAATACTTTTATATATTTTATTTTACGTGGAGGGATGGTCAGTGGGATGGAGGCACAGTCTGTTTGTTCATTTCCTGGATTTTCAGTTTGCACTTAGTCACATAGTCACTTTAAGATGTTTTCTTGTTTCATGTTTTTGTTTTTTGTTTGTTGCGGTTGCACCCGATTCAAGAACCGAATGGCTCACAGGGCTATACCTAATAAATGAACTTGAACTACTAACATTCCCCGCCGTGGCGAGATGTTAACAACCTCGCCTGGTTTACAGGAGGTCGTGGGATCGATCACGACACTGACGCCTGTTGCATATTTGGAGTTTGCGCCTTCTCGCCGTGGTCGAGCGGATTTTTCTCCGGCTCCTCCGGTTTTTAAATCCTTTATATTAAGTTCACTTGCTTGCGCGCTTACGACCGTGCAAATATTTCGGTCGTTGTTTAACCCATTTCCCGTGATCCAATCAAGCTGACATTTTGCACATAGACTCGTTGTGCGTGACAATTTATTTTTGTGAAATTTTTTTCCCAAAATTTTCCACTTTTTAGGGAATTTTTTTTTCATATTTAATTTAAAATACCAATGTGATAAAAATGAAACTCTTACTCAAGAAAAACAGAAATGAATAATAAAATTAAACCGATGCCACGCATATAAAGGATTTATAGTGAAAAACTTTGTTTTTACGGGTTAATTTTTTCCCTCCGCGCCTAGAACCAACATCACGCGATTGTAGTATTTGGCTGCTACTATACATGTCCACGTGACAATACGTCACCTTAATTGGTTCATGAGATGTGTTGTGTTAACCAGCAACGGAACACACTGAGCCTCATTTGAGGCTCAGTCGATCTACGAGAGGCCCCAGGACCGGTTCCAATCATGGTTCATTGCAGACAAACAAATACGGACATGCACAGATATTCAGCAGGTTGATCTTTAATTCAAAGCATTAAGCAGTATAGGGACTCCTCTATTTGTGAACTAGTTAGGTTCAAGATGTTCTGCCCGTAAGTCGATGTGTTCGTAAGTCCAACTTTACTTCTGTCGATTTCCAACACGGTGTGCACTAAACACGGGGAATGGCTTTAAAAAGTTCCATAATCTCCTGGAGATGTAGATGCCACCGGTTTTTAATGTTCTTCAGATGTGGATGCCACCACTTACGGCTCTCGGTCCGAACAGGCAACTGGACATACGGACCAGCTTTGTTCGTATCTCTGAAAGTTCGTAAGTCGAATTCTCGTAAGTTAGAGGAATCCCTGTAATTGATAGTAAACCCCAGCCGATACGAATAACAGCCACTCGCGAACTCGTGCCCTTCGCCACGTTAGCGCTGCGTTACAAATCGGGAAATACGCGCACGTACCTGAGAAAAATCAGCCACTGCACAGACCACAGTCCAGCCCTTAACAGCGACATCATTAGTTGTTATAGCGCCACTGTTACTGGTAAGAACCACCTGGTTCCACCAGCCCACAGGGGATTATTGTGTCCGTCCGTCCGTCGTGCATCCAAAAATGGGAAGGGTGGGGCTGGGTGGAGAGGGGATGGTGGGGAGGGGCTGGGTGGGGAGGGGCTGGGTGGGGAGGGGAGGGTGGGGAGGGTGGGGAGGGGCTGGGTGGGGAGGAGCTGGGTGGGGAGGGGAGGGGCTGGTCACCCCGTGGTGCCCTTATAAAACTCAACGTTTAACCTACTCACGCCAGCTTGTGCCCGCCCTCACAGTCGGCCATATTTGCGGAATACACCACGCCGCCGTTGACCCTGGCCATTGACCGAGCAACCCAACGTTCCCACCAGCTCCCTCCGCAGGACAATGTGTTTATTCATTTATTTGTACCCACAGTGTAACGTAGCTACAGCGGGAGTCCACGCCCTGCGGTCTAAGACTCTCTAACACACACACACGTAGCGGCGACATCGGGGACGCAGTCTTAGTGAGAGTTGGAGCACGTGTTACTGGGATGATACCACGTGCGATGCTGTACTTTCATTTTTGTTTTGGTAATCACAGTTGCAGAACTAAGGGGTGAGTGGGTGAGTGAGTGACTCTGTGAGTTATTGTGACTTGCAGTATGGTTGGTGGCTGAGTGAGTGAGCCGATGAGTGAGTGTCCGTGTGTGAGTGAGTGAGTGACTCTGTGAGTTATTGTGACTTGCAGTATGGTGGCTGAGTGAGTGAGCCGATGAGTGAGTGTCCGTGTGTGAGTGAGTGAGTGACTCTGTGAGTTATTGTGACTTGCAGTATGGTGGCTGAGTGAGTGAGCCGATGAGTGAGTGTCCGTGTGTGAGTGAGTGACTCTGTGAGTTATTGTGACTTGCAGTATGGTGGCTGAGTGAGTGAGCCGATGAGTGAGTGTCTGTGTGTGAGTGAGTGAGTCTGAGTTATTGTGAATTGCAGTATGGTGGCTGAGTGAGAGAGCCGATGAGTGAGTGTCCGTGTGTGAGTGACTCTGTGAGTTATTGTGACTTGCAGTATAGTGGCTGAGTGAGTGAGCCGATGAGTGAGTGTCTGTGTGTGAGTGAGTGAGTCTGCGAGGTGAGTGACCAGCTGTGACCTGCAGGATTGACGGACGAACACGGCAGAGGTGAGGCCACCCGCCTGCTACAGCCCCACACCTCAACATGGGCGTGCATCTCGATACGTAAAGCAGCTGACGGCAGCGGTAACCGTGGTAGCAGGAGGAAATTGAAAAGCCAGAAGGGCCTGGGTTCAACTCCCGACTGACGCCCATCATGTGTGGAGTCTGTACGTTCCCTCCCCTACCTCCCCCCTGTTCTGCTGCACGGGTTTTCTCCGGGTTCTCCACACAGCGTCTGCGTGATTTTGACCAATAACACCCCCAATGCTGAAAGCTTGACCTGCTAGCTAATCAATGGCGACATCACACACAGTCACAGCAGCAGCAGTAACATCGCCCTCTACCACACACAGCTTGGCTTCCCTAGTACACCAGCGGAATAATAATACAATCTAAGCTTCCTAATTCATGACAACAACAACAATAATACGCGTGATTGCTTTGCGCTGACTTGTCTCCAGAGATAATGATGATCGACGGCTGGCTCGATTGTGACGACACACGGGCAACCCAACCGCCGTCCTGACGAAGCACGTGGAGGGGGGGTCACGTGACGGGGGGGGGTGTGACGTCACCCCTCGGCCTCGGCCGCCTCCTCATCCTCCACCTCTTTCTTGCCGTCGCAGGTGTTGCGAGCAAAATCCTCGATGATGATGTCGCCTTCTCTGTAATCGATAAGGGGGGGAGTTTGTTAACTACTTTCACAGAGAGAGCGAGCGAGCGAGTGATTGTGGCGGAGCGTGGGCATTACACAGGCGAGCGGAAAAGGCAGCCAGTCCCACGGCAAAGACGTGCATCCATCCAAGCTCTGTGGTCCTATATTTGGATGTTTTCAAATAGAGACGTGGTGGGGTGGGGGGAGGGAGACTCAACACTGCTCATAGACTCAACACTGCCCATAGACTCAACACTGCCCATAGACTCAACACTGCCCATAGACTCAACACTGCCTATAGACTCAACACTACCCATAGACTCAGCACGACTGCCCATAGACTCAACACTGCCCATAGACTCAACACTGCCCATAGACTCAACACTACCCATAGACTCAACACTACCCATAGACTCAACACTACCCATAGACTCAACACTACCCATAGACTCAACACTGCCCATAGACTCAACACTACCCATAGACTCAACACTACCCATAGACTCAACACTATCCATAGAAGGGAAGTAATAAAATAATAAAAATAAAACATAATATTATTTATTATTTTATTACTTCCCTTCTACGTGACTTTACCGAAAGAACCAAGAAGATGAATCCCTGCAGTCACGAAAGCTTTAAATCGAAACTATCCATAGACTCAACACTACCCATAGACTCAACACTGCCCATAGACTCAACACTGCCCATAGACCCAACACTGCCCATAGACTCAACACTACCCATAGACTCAACACTGCCCATAGACTCAACACTATCCATAGACTCAACACTGCCCATAGACTCAACACTGCCCCATAGACCCAACACTGCCCATAGACTCAACACTGCCAATAGACTCAACACTACCCATAGACCCAACACTGCCCATAGACTCAACACTACCCATAGACTCAACACTGCCCATAGACTCAACACTACCCATAGACTCAACACTGCCCATAGACTCAACACTACCCATAGACTCAACACTACCCATAGACTCAACACTGCCCATATACTCAACACTGCCCATAGACCCAACACTACCCATAGACCTAACACTGCCCATAGACTCAACACTGCCCATAGACTCAACACTACCATAGACTCAACACTGCCCATAGACTCAACACTACCCATAGACTCAACACTGCCCATAGACTCAACACTACCCATAGACTCAACACTGCCCATAGACTCAACACTGCCCATAGACTCAACACTGCCCATAGACTCAACACTGCCCATAGACTCAACACTACCCCATAGACTCAACACTGCCCATAGACTCAACACTGCCCATAGACTCAACACTACCCATAGACTCAACACTGCCCATAGACTCAACACTACCCATAGACTCAACACTGCCCATAGACTCAACACTACCCATAGACTCAACAATGCCCATAGACCCATAGACTCAACACTACCCATAGACTCAACACTGCCCATAGACTCAACACTGCCCATAGACTCAACACTGCCCATAGACTCAACACTGCCCATAGACTCAACACTGCCCATAGACTCAACACTACCCATAGACTCAACACTGCCCATAGACTCAACACTACCCACAGACTCAACACTGCCCACAGACTCAACAATGTCCACAGACTCAACAATGTCTATAGACTCAACACTGCCCCGGTTAATACTGCGGCTGCATCAGCAATGAAATACTACACTCGAAACGAGCAGGCCATTGAAGTACGTCGGTGTCATGGTCTGAATTTGCTAAGTAAATGAATACGCATCATAATAAAAGGGGTTTTCCCCTTTTTCCCTATTTAAAATTTTTTTAAAAAGTCCTATTATTGGGTGGAGGCTAAAAAAAAGCCGCCCCTTGGTGTGGACCAATCAGTTTCAAGGACAATGCATCATATTATCAGAGTGTGTTTTTTGTTTGCATTTTGACTGCAAGTATTGTGGTTAATGCAGACATGAATCCTTGTAAAAAGGTTTCAGTTTTGTTGCCATAAAAAGGGGAAAACCCCTATTATTTTATTTTGGTACTGGAAAAGGAGGTCTAATGAAAATAAATACTCAATTGGGTATCACACGTAGCAGCATAGCCCCCCCCCGCCCGCCCCCTCCCGTATTGTGCAACTGCTGTGTACTGTGGGCATGAAACGGAACTCCTCGGTGACAGCCTTAACCCCAATGAGAAGGGCACAACCACCAAATGTAATCGTGAACCATTATTGTAATGTATTGATACACAATTATATATATAATACTTGTGACATTGTGGCAACTTACTTTACTGTAATGTTTGATTCCCGATTGCAACAGAGAGAGAAAGATACAGAGAATAGCAGCGTTAAGGAAGACTCGTGGAACATCAGCAGAGATTCCTCAAACGACGAGACACTCATCAGAGAATAAGAACGTGCATGCAGACCGGACACAAATGTTGACAATGGGGAGACAAAGGCTGCCGAGGGTGCTGCTGGTCACGCCAGCCTATATGGGTGCCGCTCAAGCCTCGATAGGGACTCCCAAACAGCACTTGACCCGCAACAGTCGGTGTGGCTACACGGGGGAGCTTTGTCATTGCGCGTGTGCGGAGTTCGTGTCCCGAGTTCGATCCCAGCTCACGGGAAGAATCGGCGGTAAGGATCTTCCCAAGTTCGATCTCAGCCTGAACAATTAGTACTCGGCGCGGTTCGTACACTTCTGCAATGGGGAGACAAACGCGGCCAGGCTTGGTGCTGGCCGGCCCACCCTTAATAGGCGCTCGCTAACAGGACTTGTACCAACAATTTGTATGAACACATGGGGGGAGGCGGGACCTTTATCTTTGCGTGTACGTGTGTGTGTGTGTGTCTGTGTGTCTGTGCGTGTGTGTGTGCGAGCGTGTGTGTCTATGCGTGTGTGTGTGCGAGCGTGTGTGTCTATGCGTATGTGTGTGCGAGCGTGTGTGTGTGTGAGCGTGTGTGTGTGAGCGTGTGTGTGTGTGAGCATGTGTGTGTGTGAGCGTGTGTGCGTGTGAGCGTGTGTGCGTGTGTGTGCGTGTGTTTGCGAGCGTGTGTGTGCGTGAGTGCGTGCGTGTGTGCGGGTGTGTGTGCGTGTGTGTTTGTGCGTGCGTTTAGCTCGCACAGCAAGTTGGCACAGTAGGGGGCACAGGTGGTGCATCAGCCAGTCATCTCGGTCATCTCAGTCAGTCGACCCGTGGCACCTGGGTCTGCCCCGTGACCTCATGCCAGCGGGCGTTCGACACTTCACGTGGCCTCAATGTGCACTTGGCCTGGCACAAGCGTCGTGGTGACGTCACCGCCACTTAGTGGCGAATGGCGGTTGTTGTTGTGCGTGCATGCGTGCGTGTGTATGTGCGTGTGTGTGTGTGCGAGCGTGTGTGTGTGTGCGAGCGTGTGTGTGTGTGAGCGTGTGTGCGTGTGCGTGTGTGCGTGTGTGTGTGCGCGCGTATGCGTGTGTGTGTGAGCGTGTGTGCGTGTGTGCGTGAGCGTGTGTGTGTGCATATGTGTGCGTGCGTGTGTGTGTGCGAGCGTGTGACTTACTGCCTTCCACTGGATTGGGATGCATAAGTGTGAAGGGCAGGTCTACAAACACCTCACTGGAGAAACACGCCACGGGCAATGATCAACCCCACCCCCTCCCCACTGTGCTATGGATTTGCATCTCTCTTGTACGTCGTACCCAAAGTGACAATATGGACCGTTAGAAAAAAGAGAAGAGAAGAAACACGCGAGTGGGGCTTTGTCAGGGCAGCGTGATGGATGGAGGTGAAGGCTAATGTCAGAGTGGCAGCCAAAGGTGGGAAGGAGAGTGATGAGTTTCGATTTAAAGCTTTCGTGACTGCAGGGATTCATCTTCTTGGTTCTTTCGGTAAAGTCACGTAGAAGGGAAGTAATAAAATAATAATAAAAAAACCTAATAAAATAATTCTCACGACATTTCGGCCACAACGCAAGCAGCCATCTTCAGCGTCGCCTCGACAGACCTGGTTTTCACCTGGAGACGGCTGCTTGCGTTGTGGCCGAAACGTCGTGAGAATTATTTTATTACGTTTTTTTAATTATTTTATTACTTCCCTTCTACGTGACTTTACCGAAAGAACCAAGAAGAGAGTGATGAGATCAACTCTTGGTGATATATAAATGTATGATAGGACGCTAAGAACTCATCGCTTGACAGAATCAGAATCAGAATGTTTGTTTCGACAGGGGGAATCCGAGGGGCTATGAATCACTTCATCGCAGATGTCGTAGTGATCATCCTCGTTATGACAAAACATTATTGGTACCCAAGACTTTGACAGCATTGCAGGTGGCGGCTTGGGGAGGCCGTCATCCAGCAGTGGATCAATTATGGCCGATGATCGATCCGCTGCTGGATGGAGGGTGGGTGGAGGGGGGTGGAGGGGGGGTAGGCGTGACATCATCGGCACGCACGAACCCAGCCTCCAACGTTGTGGGATGCGGGTGACGTCATCACGCACGTGTTGCGCGGTGACGTCACCACCGCGCACTTTGCGCGCCCGCCAGCAAACCTTTTCATCTTCTTGGTTCTTTCGGTAAAGTCACGTAGAAGGGAAATAATAAAATAATAAAACATTATAAAATAATTCTGAATGACGCTGTCTTTCCGACAGACCTGTTCTTCACCTGAGGACGGCTGCTTGCGTTGTGGCCGAAACGTCGTGAGAATTATTTAATTATGTTTTATTTTTTATTATTAATTTCCCTTCTACGTGACTTTACCGAAAGAACCAAGAAGATGAATCCCTGCAGTCACGAAAGCTTTAAATCGAAAAGCAAACATTTTCTTTTAAAATACGTATAAAATTATTATTTAAAAAAATAAAACAGGGGGCGATCGGTGAAATGACGAATCAGGAAGTGGCTTTAGCCCTTACCTGGCAGCCAGGTCTCCCAAGATTCTGCGCAAGAAACAAAAAAAAGCAAATCACATTTAAAATCAAAATGCGGCAAATAGCACACACGACGCTAAACACGACAACAGTGAGCGCATGCTGGCGAAGCCTCTCACAGCGAACGACCCGCCGGCTAATTTGTACTGCAGCAGTTGTGGTGTTCTCTGGGGCAGGGATCGGCAAACCAAAATAGCAAGTGGAGAGACATTTATTCCGAATTGCGGTAAAAGCAACGGGGGACTAAGTATAACCCGTAAAACCAAAGTTTTTCACTATAAATCCTTTATATGCGTGGCGGCTAGAGTCCTCTCGTCCTCTGGCTTGAGATGGCTGCCACCTATGGGTCAGATGATTGCATTGCACCATTAAGCAATTGGTAATTAAATATAATATTTTTGTCCTAAAAAGTGTAAAATTTTGGAAAAAAAATTCCACGAACATTAATTGTCACGCACAACGAGTCTGTGTGCAAAATGTCAGCTCGATTGGATCACGGGAAGTGGGTTAAAAAACGACCGAAAGATTTGCACGGTCCTAAGCAAGCAAGCGAACTTAATATAAAGGATTTTAAAAAAGACCAAACTCAATATTTAAAGAGGCACCGTTGGTGGAATACGAGACGGCGTGAGTCCCTTGGGCTACACCCATTTCAAACCTTTTTAAACAGTCTGCCTCAGCAGCAGACCATGCTTACCCACCTGATGATGGACGCTTGTGTTGCGCCCGAAACGTCGTGATTATTGATAGTTGTTTTTTTTACCCTTTTATCTGGCAACAAGGACAGTGCATACATTATCAGAGTTGTGTTTTTTGTTTGCATTCCGACCGCAGGTATTGTGGTCAATGCAAACATGACTCCTTGTAAAAAAGGTGTCAGTTTTGTTGCCAGATAAAAGGGTAAAAAAACAACTATCATATTTTGATACTGGCAAAGGAGGTTCCAATGGTGTCGTGATTTATTTTTTACCTACGTGACTTTACCGAAAGAACCAGAGAATATGGATTCCTGCAGTCACGAAAGCTTCAAATCAAGATCGATGTGGCAAGTTGCGATTTGAAGAACACGTGACGCCAGGGGCTGCCCCCTCGTGTGACGTGCTGGTACTGCGCGAAGATTTTTCGATTTAAAGTTTTTGTGACTGCAGGGATTCATCTTCTTGGTTCTTTCGGTAAAGTCACGTAGAAGGGAAATAATAAAATAATAAGAATAAAACATAATACATTTTAGATTATTATTTTATTATATTATTATATTATTTTATTTTTCAATGCCTTGTTTTATTATTTAATTATTTTATTCTTCTTCTTGGCTCTTTCGGTAAAGTCACGTAGAAGGGAAATAATAAAATAATACAAATTAAACATAATCAAATAATTCTCACGACGTTTCGGCCACAACAACGTTTCGGCCACAACACAAGCAGCCGTCCTCAGGTGAAGACCAGGTCTGTCCTTGTAAGACCTGGTCTTCACCTGAGGACGGCTGCTTGCGTTGTGGCCGAAACCTCGTGATAATTATTTTATTATGTTTTACTTTTATTATTTTATTATTTCCATTCCACGTGACTTTACCGAAAGAACCAAGAAGATTAATCCCTGCAGTCACGAAAGCTTTAAATCGGAATTTATTTTATTATTATTATTTCCCTTTATTTTATTATTTCCCTTCTACGCGACTTTACCGAAAGAACCAAGAAGATCGTGTTCGTTGTGGTAACGTTCTTACCTCGTGCTGCGACTGGAAATCTATAAGAAAAGGAGCTTCATAGCTCATCGGATTCCCCCAGCAATAAACACACATTCTGATTCTGATACAGCAACAACAACAACAAAACCGGTTCCACAGCGATGTTAAAGCGCTCGCGTGTGCCGAGTCGGTGCTGCATCTGCCGTACCCTCCTCGTCCCACGGTGAGCATCACTCGGATCTGGTAGCTGACAAGCATGCCCAGCATCTCCTTGTCCATGCCCTCCACCAACCTGGGCCACGCACCCCGAGCCCCAGAGGTTTAGAGGGGAGGAGGGGGAAGGAGGGAAAGGGGGTTCAATTCATACGCGTGCTCGGCCTTTTGTGTGTTCAGCAAAACGGAATATTCACGCTCTGTGAGCGATCGTTTGTGGCCAGGTCGCTCCTGAAATAAGAAAAAAAATTAACTCGTCCTCTGGCTTGAGATGGCTGCCACCTATGGGTCAGATGATTGCCTGCCACCACTTAGCAATTGGTAATTAAATAGGCCCCTTACATATACGGGGGGAATTTTGACCTTAAAACTTTCGTGACTGCAATAATTATTTTAATTTTTATTCACTTTTTTTTTCTATCTACGTGACTTTACCGAAAGAACCAAAGAATACAACGAATATATACAGGATGCTTACTTTTTTAACACTTAAATGGGACTATCGTTTTTAATGGGGAAAAAACGGATAATACACTGAACGGATAATACGCCTTCATGGGTGCTCGCTAACAGCACTTGCCCCTACAGTCTGTTACAGGCTATACGGGGGAATCTTTATCTTTGTGTGCATGTTGAACTTCGTTCGGTGGTGTGGTGGTGGGGTGGTGGTGGGGTGGTGGTGGGGGTGGTGGGGTGGTGGTGGGGGTGGTGTGGTGGTGAGGTGGTGGTGGTGGTGGGGTGGTATTGGTGGTGATGGTGGTAGGGTGGTGGTTGGTGGTGGTGGGGGTTGGGTGGTGGTGGTGGTGGTAATGGAGTGGTGGTGGTGGTGGTGGGGTGGTGGTGGTGGTGGTGGGGTGGTGGTGGTGGTGGTGGGGTGGTGGTGGTGGGGTGGTGGTGGTGGGGGTGGTGTGGTGGTGAGGTGGTGGTGGTGGGGTGGTATTGGTGGTGATGGTGGTAGTGTGGTGGTTGTTGGTGGTAGGGGTTGGGTGGTGGTGGTGGTGGTGGTAATGGGGTGGTGGTGGGGTGGTGGGGTGGGGTGGTAGGGTGGTGGTTGGTGGTTGTGGTGGTAATGTGGTGATGGTGGGATGCTGGTGGTGGTGGGGGTTGGGTGGTGAGGTGGTGGGGGTGTGGTGGTGGTGTTGATGTTGGTATGGGCCGCTCACATGGTGGTGGAGGCGAGGTTGGTGTCCTCGTGTTTCAGTTTCCCATCAAGCGCCACTCCTCTCTTCTCTCGAACGTTCACGCCCATCGTGGGCACGATGCTGTACACCTTGGAGTAGGTGCTAGCCGGCCCCACCGTGTCCCTGCCGCGCCAGGGAGGAGGGGACGGGGGGATTCAATGACGTCGCAATTCGATGTTGACATTCGTAATGAAGGGATGGTTTTCGAGGCCACTGCTTAACGTTCTGACCAATCGACACAGCGACAGATCAATGATATTGGACATCTGGAATCCGCCGCCGGTGGTGGTGAGCTTTACAGCTCATTGGATTTCGGTGGCATGAACAAATATCCTGATTCTTTCTAGATTGGAAGCCTAGTTTACGCAACGAAGGCTCATTCCTAACAGCGTGCTTCAGCCGAACCGAACCTCACAAAAATAATATTCAGGGCCTATCTTGGCTCCTCATCCCTCAACCAGTATATATACAAATACTGTTTTCTTGGAATTTCTCTCACTTGATACAGCTATCGTGCTGTGACTGTTCCACCTGAAGACGGAAGCTTGTGTTGCCTCCGAAACGTCGTGATTTTTATTTCATTTTTATTTAACTTTTATTAATTAAAAAAATTTACCTACGTGACTTTACCGAAAAAACCTAAGAATATGTTTCCTGATTCTCTAATCGCCCACGCGCCCCAAGCGTTCAGTCGATCGCGACTCCCCCGAATCTGAATGGTTCTGACTTCCTGGAACCCCATCCCGACGATGCTTCACGCAGTTTCCGATCCGCCTCGTGAGAGTTGGACCACGGGTCATCGCGGGTCATCACGGGACGCAGTTGCACCGCCTGCGCACTCGAGCGGGAGGGGGTGGGGGATTAAGTGTCGTACTCACGTGGGCTCCTCCACGCAGACACTCTTTGCGTACTTGTCCTGGGAGTACAAGACGATGTCTGTGATCTGCTCCACTGCAGCAGAGACGCACGCGCACACACACACAAAAAATTAACCCGTAAAAACAAAGTTTTTCACTATAAATCCTTTATATGCGTGACGGGTAGAGTCCTCTCGTCCTCTGGCTTGAGATGGCTGCCACCTATGGGTCAGATGATTGCCTGCCACCATTAAGCAATTGGTAATTAAATATAATTTATTTTTTCCTAAAAAGTGTAAAGTTATGGAAAAAATTTTTCACGAAAATAAATTGTCACGCACAACGAGTCTGTGTGCAAAATGTCAGCTCGATTGGATCACGGGAAGCGGGTTAAAAAACGACCGAAAGATTTGCACGTTCGTAAGTGCGCAAGCAAGCAAGCAAGTGAACTAAATATAAAGGATTTAAAAATAAAGGTCACCCGGATAGTCTCTCGCTGTCGGCGTGGGTGGGGGGGGGGGCAAGTGTTGTAAGCGAGTCGCGCCCTACGAAGGCCTTGAAACGGCACGCGAGGCAGCGGTGTAGGACAACATCACGCTACCACCCGGCCGCCTTTGCTGATGGTTACACAGAGCACGAGGTAATGTGCTCATTTTAGGCTGAGTCGACCTGAGGGAAAGGCCCAGGGACCGGTTCAGATATTCGTGGTGATTGGGTGGCGTGGCCAGCGCCACGCCCGGCCGCCTTTGTCTCCCCAGCGGTCGATGTTTACACATCGCACCAGGTACACTCATTTGAGGGCTGAGTCGACGTAGGGGTGGCCCAGAACCGGTTCAGATAATCGTCACTGGTGTTGGTGGTCCTGGGCGATTCGGGAGTCGAACTCGGGTCGTAGCCGTGTTAGTAGCACGGCGCGCTAACCGCTGCACCACCGCTCCCCATATCCGACGGCACAACAACAACAACAACCGCCATTCACCACCAAGTGGCGGTGACTTTACAACGGCGCTCGTGCCAGGCTATGTGCACCTTAAGGCCACGTGAGGTGTAGAACGCCCGCTGGCAGGAGGTCCACGGGACAGACCCAGCAGGTGCCACGGGTCGACTGACCGAGATGACCGAGATGACTGGCTGATGCACCACCTGTGCCCCCTACTGTGCCAACTTGCTGTGTTTTATCCGCCCGGCGCTCCGCTCGTTGTTGTGAGCGTCGCTCCTCTGCCCTCCGTGGCCAGGTCGCTTTTGAACAAGAAGTGAATCCCTCAGTGGGCTTTGTCTGGTGGGATGGGGATGGTTTAGTTTACTTTGTTTGTGTTTGGGTGATTTGTTTACCTTTCTTGGACTTTACACTCTTATCGTGTTTGTTTGTAATCGTTTGTTGTTGTCACGCTCTTACCCCGTGCCCCGACTGGTCATCTGTGGAAAAAGAGCTTTATAGCTCCTCGGATTCCTCCAGTATACAAAAAAACCAGGGTGGACTTCTCCACAAATCTGTCTGTCGCCTGATGAAGCCTGTTGTAATTACTGGCGAAACGTCGTAGCTCAGATTGTAAATGTTGTGGCTTGGCTCTCCAACACACAACCGGCGTGCTGTACCAGTGACGAATTGGCACCTTCTGTTTACGTGACAAACCTTACTAATTGGCTGTGTCGGGTGGTGGCGGGTTTAACGACACATTTATATTTTTTATTTACGCGATCTGAAAAGCTTCATAGCTCCTCGAATTCCTAAAAAAAACAGGTGGACTTCTCCACAAATCTGGCTGTCGCCTGATCAAACCATCCCCATGCTGCCCACAAAAAAACCTGAATTATGGATGTTTTTTTTCTTTTCGATTTAAAGCTTTCGTGACTGCAGGGATTCATCTTCTTGGTTCTTTCGGTAAAGTCACGTAGAAGGAAAGTAATAAAATAATAAAAAATAAAACATAATAATGCACGGGCATAATATGACTTTGAAACCCCCCCGCCCACATCCTACGCATTTCCCATTAAATATGCGAAATTCCTCTTGATATGCGAATGATTTTGTCAAGGCACTCTTCTTCCCATCTCCCCCCCCTCCAACCCAGCTTAAATATACGCTCCAAGCTTGGTGGTGTTTCATTCTTCACCTGAGGTCGGCTGCTTGCGTTGTGGCCGAAACGTCGTGAGAATTATTTTATTATGTTTTATTTTTATTATTTTATTAAGAACCAAGAAGATGTGGATGTATTATTGATAAATAGAGATTCTGTGCCCGTATCGCGGGTACTCTCTCACTCTCTCCTCCGTCTTGCGGGCGGAGCAGAGCGAAGCGCCAACTCACCCGATAGCCGCACCTTCTTCACGTGCTTGCTCGAGCTGTTGTTGATATTCACCGTTACCTCGATGGGCTCGCCGTGGTAGTAGAGCTGGAAGAAGCAAAACCACAGCGGCCACCCCACCACCACCACCCCCCAGTAAGTTGTGTGGTGTGTGAACATCGCCACTGGGGGGACAAAGGCGGCCGGGCGTGGTGCTGGCCACCAACCCTCTCGTGTGCTGTGCCGGCCTTCATAGGTGCTCGCTAACAGCACTTGCCCCCAGCAGTCTCACAGGCTACACGGGGGATCTTTGTCTTTATCTTGTGTATGTCGGGGCGGGGGGCAGCGACTGCATAGCGATTCGCGCGCTGCGCTACGAACCCGGCGACCCGAGTTCGATTCCCGCTCACGGCCACCACCGGTGACGATTATTTCAACCGGTCCTGGGCCTCTCCTAGGTCGACTCAGCCTCAAACGAGTAACTCGTTATATATATATTTCTTACACATCCCATCAGCTACACACGGCCTTGCGGGAGGGACCACCTGATCAGCGTCATCGACCCCAGCACGACGGGTTCGATGGGGTTGCACAGAATCGCTGACCCCACCACACCGTGGGTTCGATCCCCGACCCTGCCGCCGGCTGTATATTTGGAGTTTTGAGTGTCTCTGCTTCTCTGTCTCTCTCTCTCGCGCCCTCCCCGTGGTGGCGTGGATATTTCTCCAGATCCTCCGGTTTATCCACCCCCCCTCCTCTCTCTACACATTCGGGATCAGCTTCAGAGCTCATCGGATTTCCACCTACGGCCCACATAAACATCCCGATTCTGACGACACGGTCCACTTCATAAAATACGAAAGTTAGTGAAGCAAAAAATTAACCCGTAAAAACAAAGTTTTTCACTATAAATCCTTTATATGCGTGGCGGCTAGAGTCCTCTCGTCCTCTGGCTTGAGATGGCTGCCACCTATGGGTCAGACGATTGCCTGCCACCATTAAGAAATTGGTAATTAAATATATATATTTTTCCCTAAAAAGTGTAAATTTGGAAGAAAAAAAATTCACGAAAATAAATTCGTCACGCACAACGAGTCTGTGTGCAAAATGTCAGCTCGATTGGATCACGGGAAGTGGGTTAAAAAACGACCGAAAGATTTGCACGGTCGTAAGCGCGCAAGCAAGCAAGTGAACTTAATATAAAGGATTTAAAATTAAACTTTCGGCCTAGCGTCACGCGCGCTTTGGCTGCGTGTCACGTGAGTGGGGGTTGGGTGGGGGGTGGGGTGGGTGCTCCACTCACCTCCTTGTTGAGGGAGGCCTCCAGCTGGAGCGGCTTGTCCGACATGAGGAACTGGCGCGTCGTCTCCGCCCTGGGCGGAGGCACGGAGCGCTCGGGAGCGAACTGCACCTTGCGGATTAGCAGTCGCACGGAGTTCCTGGGCGACAAAGGTAAAGATAAAGTTTCGACTTACTTGGTTCTTTCGGAAAAGTCACGTAGAAGGAAAATAATAAAATAATAAAAATTAAACATAATAAAATAATTCTCACGACGTTTCGGCCACAACGCAAGCAGCCGTCTTCAGGTGGAGAACAGGTCTGTCGAGAAGGCAGAGTCTGAAAGACAGACCTGTTCTCCACCTGAAGACGGCTGCTTGCGTTGTGTCTGTGTCTATATATAGGGATGGCTTCGTGAACGAATCTTTCTTGATAGCCAGTGGGCTTGCAATTTCACAGGATTCACACCAACACAGCCACTGTGCGAGTTTACGGGTCTCTTTGCAAGTCTGCAAGTCTACGGGTCTCTCTGTGAGTTTAAGGCTGTCTGTGCGAGTCTACGGGTCTCTGTGTGAGTCTACGGGTCTCTGTGTGAGTCTACGGGTCTCTGTGTGAGTCTACGGGCCTCTGTGCGAGTCTACGGGTCTCTGTGCGAGTCTACGGGTCTCTGTGCGAGTCCGCGGGTCATCTCTGTGAGCCTCCTCCCCGTTGACCACTACTCTGACCTTTTGTGAATCTTTTCCTCCAGATTCTCGGCACAAAACGCCTTCACCTCGAAGTCCACGCCGCAGGCTTGCTGGCGGACACGCACAAGAACACACACACAGCGTGGATCACACCCTCCCCACCACCACCACAACCACTGCATCGATACAATGTCCGATGTTCCGCACCTAAGTGCTGGACAGCTCCTGCAGGATGTGTATTCCTCGACAAAGCTCCCGCTTATGTTGAAACGGGCACCCATATCTCACATAGAGAGAGAGAGAGAATGGATCCTTGCCGATAGACTTCCGGCAATGCACCAGCGTTGCTTGAAGCAGGCGAGCGAGTGAGCAAGGGAGTGTGACCACGCTGATGAGAGACAGAGTGTCGAAACCGGTCCAGAGTTCGCGTGGCTCGCATTGAACTGACGACGTCTGCTGCCGAGATGCGCTCCAGAAAGGTCGCGTGGCTGACGAGATTTTGGGTACGGACAAAAAGCTATTCGACACGTCCAAAAAACAATTCAACACGTCCAAAAAAACAATTCAACACGTCCAAAAAACAAGTCAACACATACAAAAAACAATTCAACACATACAAAAAACAATTCAACACGTCCAAAAAACAAGTCACCATGTACAACAAAAATTGAGTACGTACAAAAAACAAGTCAACTTGGACAACAACAATTGAGTACGTCCAAAAAACAATTCAACACGTCCAAAAAACAATTCAACACGTCCAAAAAATAAGTCAACTTGGACAACAAAAATTGAGTACGTACAAAAAACAAGTCAACTTGGACAACAAAAATTGAGTACGTCCAAAAAACTATTCAGGACGTCCAAAAAACAATTCAACAAGTCCAAAAAACAATTCAACACGTACAAAAAACAATTCAACACGTCCAAAAAACAAGTCAACATGTACAACAAAAATTCAGTACATACAAAAAACAATTCAGCACGTCCAAAAAACAATTCAACACGTCCAAAAACAATTCAACACGTCCAAAAAACAAGTCAACACGTACAAAAAACAATTCAACACGTACAAAAATCAATTCAGCACATACAACGCACAAACACAACCGGTGTAAGGAACTGACTGGCCTCGTTTAGTTCGCAACGCGAGAACCGTTACCGATTGAATGCGTCGGGTGGTTGGGTGCACGACACAATTACATTTCTCTAAACCTACAAAAACACTTTTATCATTAAAAAAAAAACTAAATAAAATCAGACCAAGTTGGCACCGACGCTAAAATCGGACCAAGTTTTATTTTCAAAATGTTGCCACTCACCTTGCCAGCGTCATCCGGTCCCGGCTGGAGAGTGATGGAGCACGGTAGATTTTGTGGAAGCTGAAAGAGTCGAAAGGGAGTCAGTTCCACAGCGGCCCTCTCTCTCTCTCTCTGCGACTCGCTGCTCTCTCGGCGTCGTTAGTACGACGATTCAAACGTGAACGCAACGTGAGCGCAGAGTCGTCGCATCATCACCCGCATCATCACCCGCATCATCGTCCACATCGTCGCCCACATCATTGCCCACATCATCACCTGCATCATCGCCTGCATCATCACCCGCATCATCACCCGCATCATCGCCCGGGACTTTGTTTTTTGCCCGACTCGATTTCCCTGCACTCGCGTCGCCGGGCGACTGAGCGAGACAAGTGGATTGGGGTGGCTTGAGGAGGTGACCTGGTGGTGGTGGTGGGGGTGGTGGTGGTGGTGGTGGTGGGGGTGGTGGTGGTGGTGGTGGGGGTGGTGGTGGTGGTTCAGAGAGTCAGAGGCGCGGCACCGTCACACGCCGAGGCCCTGGGTTCAAATCCAGGTTCCAGCAGCCGCCTGGGACTAAACCACGGGGTTCCCAAGTGCGGCCTCAGCCACGGTCACCAACGAAATACATCTTCGGTCAAAAAGAGCGATTATAGTTCAGTGGACCTTACTTTGGAAAATAAAAAAAATAGTTTTAATGGATAGTTTTTTTTTTTATTAATTTAAATTTTTTACCTACGTGACTTTACCTGAAAAACCTAAGAATATGAATTCTTGCAGTCACGAAAGCTTCAAATCTAGAATGGATAGTTTACTTTCATATCCGCTTCCGTTGGCCGTTCTCCCAATTCTCCGGCGCGCACTGCCCCCGTGAGCGATGTGAAAGGGCCCTCGGTCTCGCGACGGGACAGGGTTCACCATCTCCATGTGCCCATGCAGCTTTCCCCTCTCCTGCCGGACGTGCCGTGGCTGGTCCGCGAAAGTGGATATCATGGAATGGTGGGTCGGTGGGTGGGTGGGTGGGTCGGTGGGTGGGTGGGTGGGTCGGTGGGCGGGTGGGTGGGTAGGTCGGTGGGTCGGTGGGCGGGTGGGTGGGTCGGTCGGTCGGTCGGTCGGTCGGTGGGTGGGTGGGTCGGTCGGTGGGTGGGTGGGTCGGTGGGCGGGTGGGTGGGTAGGTCGGTGGGTCGGTGGGTGGGTCGGTGGGTCGGTGGGTGGGTGGGTCGGTGGGTGGGTGGGTGGGTCGGTGGGCGGGTGGGTGGGTAGGTCGGTGGGTCGGTGGGTGGGTCGGTGGGTCGGTGGGTGGGTGGGTCGGTCGGTGGGTGGGTGGGTCGGTGGGCGGGTGGGTGGGTAGGTCGGTGGGTCGGTGGGTGGGTGGGTCGGTGGGCGGGTGGGTGGGTAGGTCGGTGGGTCGGTGGGTGGGTCGGTGGGTCGGTGGGTGGGTGGGTCGGTGGGTGGGTGGGTGGGTCGGTGGGCGGGTGGGTGGGTAGGTCGGTGGGTCGGTGGGTGGGTCGGTGGGTCGGTGGGTGGGTGGGTCGGTCGGTGGGTGGGTGGGTCGGTGGGCGGGTGGGTGGGTAGGTCGGTGGGTCGGTGGGTGGGTGGGTCGGTCAGTGGGTGGCTGGGTCGGTCGGTCGGTCGGTTGGTCAGTAGGTCAATTGGTGAGTCAGTGGGTCGGTTGGTGGATCAGTCGTTTGGTTGGTCGGTCAGAAAGTCAGTCGGTGAGTCGGTCAGTCGGTCGGTCAGTCGATGGGTCGGTCAGTGGGTCAGTCAGTCAGTCGATGAGTCAGTCGATGAGTCGGTCGGTCAGTCAGTCGATGAGTCAGTCGATGAGTCGGTCGGTCAGTGGGTCGGTCGGTGAGTCGGTCCAGTCGGACGGACCGGACGGACGCCGTGCTCTCGCCTCGAATACGAACGGGAAGCTGTTGTCGCCGGTCTTCTTCACGAGTCGCTCCTGCAGCTGAGTGAGCGGCTTCTTGTCCTCGGGCAGCGGCGGGAACACCTGCATGGTGCTCACGTAGATTTCCTTGCGGAACGTCATGTCCAGCACGTCCAGGTCGTCGCGTCCGTAGCGGAACGCGCACGTCATCTGCACGTAGGCTGCAGGGTGGGGGCGGCGGGGGAGGAGGGTGAATGGGGGGGGGGGAATCCAAGAAAGGAAAGAGCAGCAGTCAAATAACATAGACAATGTAGTATACAACTAAAAACTCTTTCATACTCGACGTTTTAAAAGAGTCTGCATCGGCAGCAGGACATGCTTCCCCACCTGATGACGGCAACGTCGTGATTTATTTTATTTTTTACCTACGTGACTTTACCGAAAAAGCCTAAGAGTATGAATCCTTGCAGTCACGGAAGCTTCAAATCTAGAAATAAAAATATTTTATTTTATTTTACCAGGTAAGGCCCACTGAGCTAGGCAGCGGTTTTTCAGAAGCGACCTGGCCACAAGCGATAGCCTCATGAAGGTGGCTTATCACGTGGGAAGTCATAGCAGCCAAATACTCTGAAAGCATCGAGGGAAAAACCGGAGGACCCGGAGAAAAATCCACGCGACCGCCATGGAGAGAGACACCGCAAACTCCAAATATACAGCAGCAGGCGTCAGGGTCGGGATCGAACCCACGACCTCCTGCATACCAGGCGAGGTAGTTAACATCTCGGCGCGTTGGGAACGTCAGCGTCTCACAAACCAGAAGGGACCTGGATTCGATTCCAGACTCGGGCGCCTATCTGTTGACATCAGATCAGCAGCTTGTATTGCTCGGGGGGAGCCTTGGACATCTACGACGAGTCGTGAGAGTTCGAAACGACGGGCCCAGCATCGTGAGAGGCAACGTGCAGAGACGCACACTCACGTTTACGTTCCATTACACAGAAACAGAGGCGTTCTTTGGGGCGAGCGCCCCGGGCCCCGCGCTTTGGGGGGGGGGGGTCACACGGTGAGTGAGTTCCCCCGGGCACTGCACCCACCCACCGCCCCCCCCCCCCATGAATGCACAGAATCATCTTTATTTTCTTCAACGAATTTGCCCGCGTGGCATTCGAGAGCGCGCAGGTAACGTTGCACCTGGGAGATGGAGCGACCGGCTCGTTAAGGAGCCGTGAAAGATCGCGAGATTCGCGGAGGCACGGCGACGGCCCGGCGAGGCTTTCATCCAGCAGTGGATAGACCACGTCTGATGACGACGACGACGATGACGATGGTGATGGTGATGATGAAGACACGCCACACGAGGACATGACTCACCTTATTCTTAGGTGTTTTCGGTAAAGTCACGTAGGTAAAACATTAAAATTAATAAAATAAAAATAAAATAAAAATCACGACGTTTCGGAGGCAACACAAGCTTCCGTCTTCAGGTGGAACCGTCACAGCCACGACAGCTGTATCAAGTGAATGAGAGATTACAAGGTGAGTCTATTCTTAGTCTTAAGACTCACCTTACCATATTAATAAAACGTGTGCCGTACTTGGCCCTTCCCCTCTCCAACCATTATATATACGGAGTGGTAGCTCTTGTAATCTCTCATTTACTTGATACAGCTGTCGTGGCTGTGACGGTTCCACCTGAAGACGGAAGCTTGTGTTGCCTCCGAAACGTCGTGATTTTATTTTTATTTTATTAATTTTAATGTTTTACCTACGTGACTTTACCGAAAAAACCTAAGAATATGAATCCTTGCAGTCACGAAAGCCTCAAATCTAGAATACATGACTCACCTTTGCGTTCCTTAAGATACTCCGGATCAAGGATGACGATCCCATCTGCGAGACAAAGATCGCCCCGATGCTCTTAGCCAGGCACCAGCAATAGCCCCGAAAGCCACCGGGGGTAGAACACGGCAGCTGCTACCGAGTCGGCTCATGGAAGTTCCTCCCGCGACTCTCAGGCAAGTGAAGACCACGAGGCAAAGACCAACCCCGCGTAGCTTTAACAGACTGTCGGGGCAAGTGCTGTTAGAGAGTAGCACCTAAAGGGGCCGTCCATAAATGACGTCACGCGAATTTGGACGATTTTTAACTCCCCCCGCCATCGTCACACGGCGTCACAAAAAGTCAGACCCCCCCCCCCTCTCAAAAATGACGTCACAAAACTTTGCCCATCCCCCCAAAACAAATAAAACATGCTTCAAATCGCTTTAAACTATTGTCATTGTAGTGCGTATTTAAGGTGCCGCTGCACTCTGATGTTGTAGGAGAAAACATTTATCAAAAAGTCTATTTAATTAAGTAGAATGTGTTGTCTATATTTATTTAAAGTTGCACATTTTGATGTGACGTCACATTTCTCAACCCCCCCCCCCCCCCCTCGTCACACATCGTCACAAAAAGTCAGCCCCCCCCCCCCCTCAAATACGACGTCACAAAGCTCTGCCCCCCCTCCCCCCCCAAAAAAAAATATAAAACATGCTTCAAATCGCTTTAAACTATTGTCGTGCGTATTTAAGGTGGCGCTATGTTGAGGGAGAAAACAATTTATCAAAAAGTCTATTTAATTAAGTAGAACGTGTTGTCTATATTTATTTAAAGTTGCGCATTTTTACGTGAAGTCACATTTCTCAAACCTCCCCCCCCCACCTCGTCACACATCGTCACAAATGTCTGACCCCCCCCCCCTAGGTGCGTGACGTCATTTAACCACTATCCACGCTGCCCCCCCCCCCCCCCCCCCCCCCAGCGATCAGCAAGTACATCGCCAGGTGATAACCACGGAGTTCTCACTCCAGGCATGGTTCCTTCATCAATCCGGGTCCTTAAAGTAGATGCCGTGACGTCACAGGCACCGTTATGCGCGTCACAAGCTTCCAAATGACTCCTCCATCGTGCGGAAACGACGCGTCCCAGCCGTGTTCATCTCGCGTTCACAACCCCGTGGCGTTTGTTGGAAATTGCACGTTCCTATGGCCGGGCCAGAGTCACCCCAGAGTACGGGACAAGCGGTGTTGAATTTCCCCCACAACTTTGCAATTGTGCTATTGACCCCGGAGAGAGGGGCCCAGTTACCCCAGCCAGGGGTTGAACTCGCGAAACCGGCGACAATGAGTGGGTCAACTGACCTATGGGGTCCACGTGATCAACGTGGTCGACGTAGTCGCGCTTGCCCAGGTAAAGCGTGATCTGCACAACGGGAGAGATTCAAGGTGTGAAATTCATCGAAGACCAGATAAAGGTACCCCGTGTAGCCTGCGCAGACTTTAGAGGCAAGTGTTGTGAGCGAGCAGCTCCTATGAAGGAAGGCGCGGCACGCAAAGCGGTGGGCGGTCAGCACCACGCCCGGTCGCCTTTGTCTCCCCCACTCGTGATGTTTATATACACTGCATCAGGTACTCATTTGAGGCTGAGTCGACCTAGGGGGAAGGCCTACTACCCTCCACGCACTCTCCTACCTCTCCCCGCTCATCTCACTCCACTCCCCTCCACGCACTCTCCTACCTCTACCTCTCATATCACTCTACTCCCCTCCACGCACTCTCCTGTCTCTCCCTCTCATCTCACTCCACTCCCCTCCACGCACTCTCCTACCTCTCCCCTCTCATCTCACTCCACTCCCCTCCACGCACTCTCCTACCTCTCCCCTCTCATCTCACTCTACTCCCCTCCACGCACTCTCCTACCCTTCCCCTCTCATCTCACTCTACTCTCCTCCACGCACTCTCCCACCTCTCCCCTCTCATCTCACTCTACTCCCCTCCACGCACTCTCCTGCCTCTCCCTCTCATCTCACTCTACTCTCCTCCACGCACTCTCCTACCTCTCCCCTCTTATCTCACTACACTCCCCTCCACGCACTCTCCTACCTCTCCCCTCTTATCTCACTACACTCCCCTCCACACACTCTCCTACCCTTCCCCTCTCATCTCACTCTACTCCCCTCCACGCACTCTCCCACCTCTCCCCTTTCATCTCACTCTGCTCTCCTCCACGCACTCTCCTGCCCCTCCCCTCTCATCTCACTCTACTCCCCTCCACGCACTCTCCTACCTCTCCCCTCTTATCTCACTACACTCCCCTCCACGCACTCTCCTGCCCCTCCCCTCTCATCTCACTCTACTCCCCTCCACACACTCTCCCACCTCTCCCCTCTCATCTCATTCCACTCCCCTCCACAGCCTCTCCTACCCCTCCCCTCTCGTCTTACTCCACTCCCCTCCACACACTATCCTACTCCTCTCATCTCACTCTACTCCCCTCCACGCACTCTCCTACCCTCCCCTCTTATCTCACTATACTCCCCTTTACGCACTCTCCTACCCTCCCCTCTTATCTCACTCTACTCCCCTCCACGCACTCTCCTACCCCTCCACTCTCATCTCACTATACTCCCCTCCACGTACTCTCCTACTTCTCCCCTCTCATCTCACTCCACTCCCCTCCGCGCACTCTCCTACCTCTCCCCTATCATCTCACTCTGCTCCCCTCCACACACTCTCCTCCCTCTCCCCTCTTATCTCACTCCACTCCCCTCCACACACTCTCCTGCCTCTCCCCTCTCATCTCACTCTACTCCCCTCCACGCACTATCCTACTCCTCTCATCTCACTCCACTCCCCTCCACGCACTCTCCTACCCCTCTCATATCATTCTACTCCCCTACTCCCCTCCACACACTCTCTTACCCCTCCCCTCTCATCTCACTCTAATCCCCTCCACACACTCTCCTGCCTCTCCCGTCTCATCTCATTCCACTCCCCTCCACACACTCTCCTGCCTCTCCCCTCTCATCTCACTCTACTCCCCTCCACGCACTCTCCTACCTCTCTCATCTCACTCTACTCCCCTACTCCCCTCCACACACTCTCTTACCCCTCCCCTCTCATCTCACTCTAATCCCCTCCACACACTCTCCTGCCTCTCCCGTCTCATCTCATTCCACTCCCCTCCACACACTCTCCTGCCTCTCCCCTCTCATCTCACTCTACTCCCCTCCACGCACTCTCCTACCTCTCTCATCTCACTCTACTCCCCTACTCCCCTCCACACACTCTCTTACCCCTCCCCTCTCATCTCACTCTAATCCCCTCCACACACTCTCCTGCCTCTCCCGTCTCATCTCATTCCACTCCCCTCCACGCACTCTCCTGCCTCTCCCCTCTCATCTCACTCTACTCCCCTCCACGCACTCTCCTACCTCTCTCATCTCACTCTACTCCCCTACTCCCCTCCACACACTCTCTTACCCCTCCCCTCTCATCTCACTCCACCCCCCTCCACCACGCACTCTCCTACCGCTCCCTTCGTCCTCTGCTCTATTTCTGTCTGCCTCTCTCTATGAAATGAAGACGCCCGCGGTTTCTGCGGAACGTCCGGAGACGTGGTCACGTTTCCACGTCACACGAATCCACATCGTGCCGTGTAATCGTACTGCATTGCATTGCGCGTGACACACCTTGCCATTGGGGCTCGTTTTCTTGAAGACACTGCGGGCACAACACGTGAGACAGAGTCAGATTGGTCGGAGTAACGACATCCACCACTGCGCTCTCAGAGAGTTGAAGGCGCAGCCCCTGCAAGGGCCTGCCGCTCGACCACAGTAACCCTCTAAGACAGGCTCCTTTGGCCTACGTTTCCACGAAAGCCAGACGCCTTGGAAGATGTGGATGTTACCCACATTTTACCCCACCCACGCTCGATTTAACAATACTACGGCAGCATTAAACAACATTAAGTAGCTCATGTTTTTTCGATTTAAAGCTTTCGTGACTGCAGGGATTCATCTTCTTGGTTCTTTCGATAAAGTCACGTAGAAGGGAAGTAATAAAATAACAAAAATAAAACATATTATGTTTTAATAAAATAATAAAAATAAAACATATAATATTTTATTTTTATTATTATTTTATTATTTCCATCCTACGTGACTTTACCGAAAGAACCAAGAAGATGAGTTCATGTTTTTGTTTATTTATTTTTATTGAGGGGGGAGGAGAGGGGGTTGGGGGCGAGCGAATAATCAATTCGGCCCTTCTGCGTGCGGACAAAGTGGTAATTGTATGGGAATTGCATCATCAGTTGGGTCCATGCGTGGCGTGGTGGGCGAATCACCGAGCCAACATTTATCTGCAATCGAACTCAACGATGGGGGGGGGGGTGGGGGGGGCTTGTCAGTGTGCTAAGTGGACACCCTGATAACGGTGTTTTCCATCGTTGTTTTTTTTCAAAATAGTTTCTTTGATGGTATCTGCTTTTTTTTAATATTTAAACACGGGAAATGTGAAAACACTCGTTCAACGCGTAGTAGTTAGTAGTATCTTCTTGGTTCTTTCGGTAAAGTCACGTAGAAGGGAAGTAATAAAATAATAAAAATAAAACATAATAAAATTTTATTATGTTTTATTTTCATTATTATTATTATTTTTAAATAATAAAAATAAAACATAATCAAATTTTATTATGTTTTATTTGTATTATTTTATTACTTCCCTTCTACGTTACTTTACCGAAAGAACCACTCGTTCACGCGTTATCGAGTATATTACTCTTCTTGGTTCTTTCGGTAAAGTCACGTAGAAGGAAAATAGCAAAATAATAAAAATAAAACATCATGAAATAATTCTCACGACGTTTCGGCCACAACGCAAGCAGCCGTCTTCAGGTGGAGAACAGGTCTGTCGAGAAGACAGAGTCTGAATGACTATTTTTATTATTTTGTTATTTTCCTTCTACGTGACTTTACCGAAAGAACCAAGAATATGAATCCCTGCAGTCACAAAAGCTTTAAATCAAAGTTTATTACAATTCACGGAGTGCGCTTCTGGACACGGCCTTTCCGAACGGTCCCCAGGGATGCGGTCCGGGGTCTTGACGTCTCCCTCGCCCGTAATCCGTGCGTCCGAGGATTTAAATCAAATCGAGTTTGGCTAAACTTACCCTGCCCACGCTCACTCGAGCTAATCGCGCTAATGGGGAGCTTTCCGGAGGGATGAGCTCATTGACTCAGGGCGAGGCTTATGCGCGCACCACCCCTACCCCCCACCCCACCCCCCCTCCTATGCTCACCGGACATGCACCTAGCCGGGCACCAGCAATAGCCACGAAGCCAATTGTCCATGCTTCGAGCAGAGCAAGGCAGCGCATGGAAGTTCCTCCCGCGACTCTCAGGCAGTGAAGACCACAAGACAAAGACCAGCCCCGCGTAACTTTAACAGATTGTCGGGGCAAGTGCTGTTAGAGGGTAGCACCTAAGGGACCGTCCATAAATGACGTCACGCGATTTTGGACGATTTTTTACTCCCCCCCGCCCGCCATCGTCACACGGCGTCACAAAAAGTCAGACCCCCCCCCCCCCTCAAATATGACGTCACACAGCTCTGCCCCCCACTCCCCCAAATAAAACATGTTTCAAATCGCTTTAAACTATTGTCATTGTAGTGCGTATTTAATGTGCCGCTGCACTCTGATGTTGTAGGAGAAAACATTTGTTAAAAAGTATATTTAATTAAGTAGAACGTGTTGTCTGTATTTATTTAAAGTTGCGCATTTTGATGTTACGTCACATTTCTCAACCCCCCATACACTCACATACTCACACACTCACTCCCCCCACACACTCACACCCCCCACACTCCCCCCCCACACACTCACTCCCCCCACACACTCACTCCCCTACACTCTCCCCCCACACACTCACACACTCACTCCCCCCACACACTCACTCCCCCCACACTCCCCCCCACACACTCACTCCCCCCACACACTCACTCCCCTACACTCTCCCCCACACACTCACACACTCACTCCCCCCACACACTCACTCCCCCCACACTCCACCCCACACACTCACTCCCCCCACACACTCACTCCCCTACACACTCCCCCCACACTCCCCCCACACACTCACTCCCCCCACACTCCACCCCACACACTCACTCCCCCCACACACTCACTCCCCCCACACTCCACCCCACACACTCACTCCCCCCACACACTCACTCCCCTACACACTCCCCCCACACACTCACTCCCCCCACACACTCACTCCCCTACACTCTCCCCCCACACACTCACTCCCCCCACACACTCACTCCCCCCACACTCCCCCCCACACACTCACTCCCCCCACACACTCACTCCCCTACACTCTCCCCCCACACACTCACACACTCACTCCCCCCACACACTCACTCCCCCCACACTCCCCCCCACACACTCACTCCCCCCACACACTCACTCCCCTACACTCTCCCCCCACACACTCACACACTCACTCCCCCCACACACTCACTCCCCCCACACTCCCCCCCACACACTCACTCCCCCCACACACTCACTCCCCCCACACTCCACCCCACACACTCACTCCCCCCACACACTCACTCCCCTACACACTCCCCCCACACTCCCCCCACACACTCACTCCCCCCACACTCCACCCCACACACTCACTCTCCCCACACACTCACTCCCCCCACACTCCACCCCACACACTCACTCCCCCCACACACTCACTCCCCTACACACTCCCCCCACACTCCCCCCACACACTCACACACTCACTCCCCCCACACACTCACTCCCCTACACACTCCCCCCACACTCTCCCCCCACACACTCACTTCACACACACACTCACTCACTCCACACGGCCGTTGATTATTTAATTATATAATTTGTAGCCCCTTCCCCCGTCTCGTTGTTGCCCGCGTGCCCATTGGGTGTTAGGCACCACGTGACGTGGCCACGGCGCCCGGAGCGATTCGCGCGACAAAGTTGCATCAACTTCTCGTGCCGGCGTCGCGTCTCGCGTTGTGCAACCAAAGTCGCCGGTCGCTTCTGCGGCCGTCTGGAACGCTCTTCCCTCCGATGTTAGGAAGCCAGTGGGCGCTATGGCACTTTAAAAATCATCGTCTAGATTGACGAACTCGCTTCTTAAAAAAAAACTGATGTTTCTGTTGTTGTTGTGTTTAGTTTGTTGTCCTTCCCCCGCACCTCCGAGTATCGTGGTGAGGCTCCGTATGGTGCGAAAGAAGTTCAACATACACACATCGCTCCACCAACCAGTTGGCCGAGCGATGCTACTTTAAGAGGCGAACTGGCAAACGTCCTTGGTACATACACAGTATCACCCCTATCTCTCCCCACCTCTCTCTACATCTCTCTCTCTCTGCAGCACTGCTAACAGGCAAAGCGCTCACACCACGAATTCTTTACCGGTTTCCGCCGTCTCCCATCTCCGTTGTTCGTCTCCGTCCGCAGCAGAGGCAGTAGCGGCAGCAGTAGCAGCAGCAGTAGCGGCAGCAGCAGATGCAGCAGTAGCAGCAGTAGCCTCACTTCCACCCAGAGGTCCGCGCCGATCAGCACCGCTGTCGAGTGGACAGCGCCAGGGAGGGTCGTGAGTTGAAGGAGGAACGCGAGCGGGAAGAAAGAGCACAGCGAGTTGTGAGCGCACGGCACAGAGAGGGCATGAGGCCCAGACAAACGACGAATCCACGAGCGAAGCCCTTATCGATTAACCGTGGTCACGCGTGCCAAGCCCTCCCTGTCGCTTGCTCGCAAAGCAAACAGCGAATCGATCGCCATCCCTCCCCGATGTTCGGAAGCCATTGGAGCTGCAGCATCTTTAAATCTCGATTGGAAACTCGTGTCTTTAGAACCGCTCGTTGTGTCTGGTTTACTGCCCCCCCCCCCCCCCCCGCAACTACGGTTAGCACGGTTGGCTAGGTACGGTGCGAACGAAGTTCAACATACATACAGATCTTCTTGGTTCTTTCGGTAAAGTCACGTAGAAGGGAAATAATAAATTAATAAAAATAAAACATAATTAAATACATTCTCACGACGTTGCATTTTCCATAAATATGCTAAATTCCTCTCTTGATATGCAAATCCATTTGTCAAGGCGCTCTTCCTCCCCTAACCCAGCTTAAATATACGCTGCCAAGCTTGGTGGTGTTCATTCAGACGCTGTCTTTCCGACAGACCTGTTCTTCACCTGAGGACGGCTGCTTGCGTTGTGGCCGAAACGTCGTGATAATTGTATTTTATTATATTGAAATTTTATTATTTTATTATTTCCCTTCTACGTGACTTCACCGAAAGAACCAAGAAGATGAATCCCTGCAGTCACGAAAGCTTTAAATCGAAAAATACATACAGGTCGACAAGCACGTCTCCTTCATGAATGGGAAACTTAGAGACACGGTCCACAGCAATGCGATTGTGGCCATGCGACCCACACTACATTATACCCAGAGACACCTGGAGATACAGAGACGCATGCAGACCCATAGAAGCTCACAGATATACATTAAAGACAAGCCACAGTGCTTCGATGAGTACGGTTGGCTACGTACGCTGCGAAATAAGTTCAACATACACCAGTACGGCTTTTAGCAAAGTGGATCTCACATTATTATTATTGTTATAATTGCTACGGAGAAAACAAGCCGTACTTAAGTGTCGTTAATTTATTGTTGTCACTGCGCCATGAGGTTTAAGCACGCCGACAGGAACGTGGAATTTCCACCACCAATGTCTCTGGACTTGGAAACGGAGGCAAGCAACCGCACCGATGCCCATTTTGAAGTCGTCAGCCGATTTGGCTTTCCAGCAGCGAGTTTGAGCAGCGAGTTTGAGCGAGCGCGCAAACTCCGGAGCGGTTTTCACATTCTGCATCTCATCAGCAGGATTTGGAATCTTTTTTTTTAAAACGAAGCGAGGTTCTCCACGCTTTTAACTCACCTTGTACACAAAGCAAGCTGTCAGAGATGGCTCTTTTGACATTTGAATGCTATGCCAACTCATTCCACCGCATCCCATTTCATTCTATTCGAACCCATCCCATTTCACCCCTTCCTTTTACATCCCATCCTATTGCACCCAATCCCATCTCACCCCATGGTGGCTAGGAGATGTTAACCACCTCGCCTGGTATGCAGGAGGTCGTGGGTTCGATCCCGACCCTGACGCCTGCTGCTGTATATTTGGAGTTTGTGTATCTTTCTCTCTCTCTCCCCGTGGCCGGGTGGATTTTTCTCCGGGTCCTCCGGTTTTTCCTTCCACATTTTAGAATAAACATCACGCCTTCAGAGCATTTGGCTGTAATACATTTCCACGTCATAAGCCACTGAGATATAATTTACGATAGCCTGGTAGCTTCTGAAAAAAGAACGACAAAACTCAATGGACTTTACCTGTTAAAATAAAAAAATGCTAGTTAGCTATTCCACGCCATCCCCTTTCCACCCCATCCCACCTCACTGCATCCCATCCCATCCTCTTTACTCGAGGGACCATTTCAAATGAGACGGGAGCTGGCTGGGCACCTGTGAGACGAGAGGAAGGGTGCAGTGCAGGAGGTGATGGGCGATGCTGGAGGCGCTGATTAACGATCCACTTGTCGGGAGGGTCTCTTGATCTCTCTCTCTATATATACTCGAAGCACTCAAATCCGATCAGCGCAGACGGACGCTCCTAACTTTGTGCGTCTTAAGCGCTTACGTCCTAATCGCTGCCCCAACTCCGTCGAGGCCGACTTGAAGGAGTCACGGTAAAGCACATGGTTGGTGGGGAGGGGGGGTTGTTGATGGTGGGGGAGGTCAAGGATTAGAGAGTGGAGAATGTAGAAGGTTAAGAGGTGAGTACTCTTAGGCTTTTTCGGTAAAGTCACGTAGGTAAAAAATAAAAATAAAATTAATAGAAGCAATAATAGAAATAAAATAATTTAGAATTAAGAGGTGAAGTTGCAGGTTAATGAGATGCAGAGGCAATATGATTTGCCCACCGGCATTTTATGTTTTCGATCTGTGCCATCGATGCGTGCACACGCGCGTCCACTATTTGTACTCGTTGTACTATTTGTGCGTACGAGGCGGCGATTACCAACACGCACTGACCAGCATGGTGAAGTATGGTCAAACGAACCCCCACCTCTCCTCTGATCTCACAGCAGTGGGTTAGAAAACGGCTGTAAATTAACAGAGGCTCACATTACATCGCAACACCCACACATCTCACGACACGACCATCACGCGCCTGCCTTTTAAACACCTCGCCGTGGCATTTGCTCTCAACTGGCTACCCATCGCCAGTAGGGTCACATACAAGATCGCCTGCCTCTGCCACAATGCCTTCATATCCGCCTGCCCGCCGTACCTCTCTTCATTATTGACAACTTGCAGCGCAGCACACGGCAGATGCCTGCGCAGCGCGACTCACGACCTCCTCATGATACCAAGATCCAGGATGTTCGTGTCTATGCGCCGCTTCTCGGTGGCAGCCCCAACAGTCTGGAACGCTATCATCCCTCTGCACATTCGCAACATCACCTCAATCGCCTCCTTCAAGAGAGACTTAACAACTCACCTCTACAACCACGTGCTTTCGAGCGACTCTGAGCTTGGCTCCGCGCCTCTGAGTTGCGGCCACTACGTCTGCAAATTTGCGCGCGTTATAAATTGAACTATTATTATTATTTGCACCACGAGCATTGGCTAAAGCGAGCCCCACTCTGCCGATGAGGCAGTCGAATGTGGAGTCCGGTGCGGACGTGTTGCTTGCATTGAAAAATATTCAGCTGAAAAATAATTCAAGAATTTCGATTTAAAGCTTTCGTGACTGCAGTGATTCATCTTCTTGGTTCTTTCGGTAAAGTCACGTAGAAGGAAAATAATAAAATAATAAAAATAAAACATAAAATAATTCTCACGACGTTTCGGCCACAACACAAGCAGCCGTCTTCAGGTGGAGAACAGGTCTGTCGAGAAGGCAGAGTCTGAATTCTGGAGAACAGGTCTGTCGAAAAGGCAGATTTTGAATTCTGCCTTCTCGACAGACCTGTTCTCCACCTGAAGACGGCTGCTTGCGTTGTGGCCGAAACGTCGTTAGAATTATTTTATTATTTATTACGTCTTATTTTCATTATTTTCCTTCTACGTGACTTTATCGAAAGAACCAAGAAGATCATTCAAGAACTTTTAAGAATAGAAATGTATGAAGGAGCAGATAGTCGGAGAAGGCGTATGTTCTGCACATAAAAACGCTCTCACAACCACGTGTGCATTCAATTCTATTCTCTTTCGCATTCATATAGCGCCCTTTCCAGAGCACTTTAAGATGAAATCGGACGGCGTTCAGTGAGGAAGGTGATGGAATGGATGGAGAGACAGGGGCTGGGAATGGAGCTAATGTTGCGGGGGTAGATAAGGCAGAATAAGGTGGAATGTGATGGTGAGTGACGGTGTCTGATGGGTGCAGCCTGGGTGAGAGCCAGTGGGGTATGGGGTAGGCATGCGTGAAATTGTGAAATGGGCATGGATGAGGATAGTCGGAGGGTGGTAAGGGCAGAGGTCTGGTGGCCGGACAGCAAACAATAATATCCACTTAAAGCTTTCGTGACTGCAGGGATTAATCTTCTTGGTTCTTTCGGTAAAGTCACGTAGAAGGGAAATAATAAAGTAATAAAAATAAAACATAATAAAATAATTCTCACGACGTATCGGCCACAACGCAAGCAGCCGTCCTCAGGTGAAGAACAGGTCTGTCGGAAAGACAGCGGCTTTCCGACAGACCTGTTCTTCACCTGAGGACGGCTGCTTGCGTTGTGGCCGAAACGTCGTGAGAATTATTTTATTGTTTTATTTTTATCATTTTATTATTTTCCTTCTACGTGACTTTACCGACAGAACCAAGAAGAAGAATATCCACTTTAGATGTATAAGACAAAAGCACATTCAGCAATGGCACGAATGTAGACACAGTCTGGGTTCCCGCCCCCACCCGTCTCCCCCGCCTTCATCCCCCTAGCATTTATTGCGCAGATCTAATCTGAGCAGTGGAGTTGTAATTATAGGTGCCAAAATACGGCATTAAACAGATAAGACGTCTTAAGCAGGGGGTTGTCCCGGTTCGAGATGTTATCTACCTCACCCGGTATGCAGGAGGTCCTGGGTTCGATCCCCGACCCTGACGATGCCTGTATATTTGGAGTTGACACGTTCTCCCCTGTGAACACATTGATATTCCTCTGGATCTTTCTAGGTTTTCCCTCCACATTGGGTTGGTGGGTGTGTGGGTGGCTGGGTGGGTGGGTGGCTGGGTGGGTGGCTGGGTGGGTGGCTGGGTGGGTGGCTGGGTGGGTGGGTGGGTTGCTGTGTGGGTAGCTGGGTTGGTGGCTGGGTGGGTGGCTGGGTGGCTGGGTGGGTTGGTGGCTGGGTGGGTGGGGTGGGTTGGTGGCTGGGTGGCTGGGTGGGTTGGTGGCTGGGTGGGTGGGTGACTGAGTGGTGGGTGACTGAGTGGGTTGGTGGCTGGGTGGCTGGGTGGCTGGGTGGGTTGGTGGCTGGGTTGGTGGCTGGGTTGGTGGCTGGGTTGGTGGCTGGGTTGGTGGCTGGGTTGGTGGCTGGGTTGGTGGCTGGGTTGGTGGCTGGGTTGGTGGCTGGGTTGGTGGCTGGGTTGGTGGCTGGGTGGGTGGGTGACTGAGTGGTGGGTGACTGGGTGGGTCGGTGGCTGGGTGGGTCGGTAGCTGGGTGGGTGGGTGACTGGGTGGTTGGTGGCTGGGTGGGTTTGTGGCTGGGTGGGTGGCTGGTTGGGTGTGTGGGTGGCTGGGTGGGTGGGTTGGTAGCTGGGTGGGTTGGTGGCTGGGTGGATGGCTGGTTGGGTGTGTGGGTGGGTGGGTGGGTTGGTAGCTGGGTGGGTTGGTAGCTGGGTGGGTGGGTGACTGGGTGGTGGGTGGCTGGGTGGGTTGGTGGCTGGGTGGGTGGGTGGTTGGGTGGGTTGGTGGCTGGGTGGGTGGGTGACTGGGTGGTGGGTGGCTGGGTGGGTTGGTGGCTGGGTGGGTGGGTTGGTGGCTGGGTGGGTGGGTGACTGAGTGGTGGGTGACTGAGTGGGTTGGTGGCTGGGTGGGTGGGTGGCTGGGTGGTGGGTGGCTGGGTGGGTTGGTGGCTGGGTGGTGGGTGGCTGGGTGGGTGGGTGACTGGGTGGTGGGTGGCTGGGTGGGTTGGTGGCTGGGTGGGTGGGTTGGTGGCTGGGTGGGTGGGTGACTGAGTGGTGGGTGACTGAGTGGGTTGGTGGCTGGGTGGGTTGGTAGCTGGGTGGGTGGGTGGGTGGCTGGGTGGGTGGGTGGCGGGGTGGGTTGGTGGCTGGGTGGGTTGGTAGCTGGGTGGGTAGGTTGGTGGCTTGGTGGGTGGGTGACTGGGTGGGTGCGTGGGTTGGTGTCTGGGTGGTGGGCGGCTGGGTGGGTTGGTAGCTGGGTGGGTGGGTTGGTAGCTGGGTGGGTGGGTGACTGGGTGGGTTGGCAGCTGGGTGGGTGGGTGACTGGGTGGGTTGGTAGCTGGGTGGGTGGGTGACTGGGTGGTGGGTGGCTGGGTGGTGGGTGGCTAGGTGGGTAGGTGGCTGGGTGGGTTGGTAGCTGGGTAGGTGGGTGGGTGACTGGGTGGGTGCGTGGGTTTGTGGCCTGGTGGGTTGGTGTCTGGGTTGGTTGGTGTCTTGGTGGTGGGTGGGTTGATGTCTGGGTGGGTTGGTGTCTGGGTGGGTTGGTAGCTGGGTGGGTTGGTGGCTGGGTGGGTTGGTGTCTTGGTGATGGGTGGCTGGGTGGGTTGGTGGCTGGGTTGAGGGACTGCGTGATATATTGGTGTGGTCTGGGACTGTTTGTTGTTGTTTTTGCTGCCTTGCAAAATTTAGATGAATCGGACTTATATAATTAATTAGTGACTTAGCTATTTTCTCAACTTTGCACTCTCCACTCGTTGTTTTGTATCGTTTGCTGTTTGTAATTTGCTGACCCGCATCACACTGAACATCTTGTGAAACAGCTTCGTAGCTCACCGGATTCCTCCTCCTCTGATGCCGTACCGGGAAATTTCTTTCCTATTATGTCGAGCCCCCCACCCTCTGTGTCTATATGCCCCCCCCCCCCCACTTTATACAAGTGTAGTGTAATAGCGCCGACTGGTGACCAGCAGCGGCAACTGCGGTGGGCAAACAGTACACACGCAGGTGAGCATATACACGGCTGTGTCGGCAGGGCGGAGGAACGGGGGCAAGGGTCATCAAGGGTCATGGAGCGCCCCATCTGGAGGCCCCTGGAACCTGCCGGCGGGTTCGAGAAGGGAGGCGTGGCCAGGGCGGAGCCGGGCCACGCTGGGAGCATAAAAGGGGACGAGAGCGGGGGGCTCAAGGCTGTCGGTTCTGGGATTGGATCGTCTCGTCGTCGCTGTCGTCGCTGCCATCTTCTCTGGATATTGCGCTGCTAGAAAGCCTGTTGGCTGTCTCGGTCAGCGCCGTCGGTGTTAGACGGCGAGCGTTGTGTTATAGGCTAGCGAATGTAGAGTGTGCGTGTGTGTTCAATAGTTCAAGTTCAAGTTCATTTATTAGGTATAGCCCTGTGAGCCATTCAG